GGCGCAGGTCTGTGTATATAGGGAACTGGCAGAAACAAGAACTAGTGCTCGCAGGGCTACGTCCTTTCCCCAACAATATTCAATTATGCGATAGATTGGATAATGGGCATCGCTTATCGGCACTCACAAGAAGTGTGCGAATTAGTACAGAGCATAACACCACAGATCTTGAATACGCTGATGATATAGTCCCTTTTGCTAACAGTTATGAGGAAATGCAAATAGTATCAACAACTGGAGCGAGAATTGGGCAAAAAATCAATATAAATAAAACGAAAGTGTTTTCGTCTTATATATAAGAAGCTGATAAAATACCCATTTTTATCAATTCATTGAGGAAGTGCTGGACTCAAAATACGTTGGCTCCACTCTAATCCCAAATGGTCAGGCAAAGGATGAAATTATAATTCAGACAACGACAGCTAGAAATATGTTTTCCGGTTGATAAAACCTTTCGAATCGTCGCGAAATCACCATAAAGACGAAAATCCGCGTCCATATAATTGCAATTCTCTCGATCTTGCTATATGGCTGCGAAACATTGCAAATGAGAATGGAAGATATTTAAGAAGCTATCAGAGCACTCAGGTATATTTTACAGATCAGATCCGTCGACAAAATCGCATATGATTGCATCCATCTTCGCTCAAATACCTGTATTAATAATAATGTTATAATGGTATTAATAATGTTATCAAAGATCATTGCCTTCGCTGGTTAGGGCACGTTCTGAGTCGTCCCACTTCAGGAGTTGACGGATATTTCGTCATGATTGGCGTCAAAAGCGAGAAGGTCCAATCAAGACATGGACTGATATAGACAGGAAAGATTTTGAAAGTGACCAGTATATATATGAACAAAAGAATGGAAAAAGGAATGGCTTCTACTACCCATGGCGTCGGACCGAGCAGCTTGGTGTCATCTTATTCTTAGTGGAGACAGCCTAACCAGTAATGGTGAGAATTGTTAGAGGAAAAAGAAGATTTTAAGTCCAATTCTCGCTGCAGTTGTTGATATAGTTTGACATTTCATTATAATTATCAGCAAAAAGGGCTACATGGCCAATGTATTCAAGGTCTGTTTCCGCGTTTCGGAGTGATTTGTACACCTCTTGAGTGCCGACAAGCAATGCCCATTATCAGTATGGATTTTGAACGAAAGAGTCCACCATTTTATAAATACTGGTTAATTTTTCTGACTTATAGCATCTGGTAGTGGCAAAACAATATTGTATGACCTATGTGCCTAATCAAGCCATTCGATACCTTTTCCCTTCATAGGTTCCTGATCACCCATTAATGGATATGATTTTGCAACTATGTGGCTACTTTGCCTTCGTTTAGACAACAAATGAATAACTTACTAACCACACCGAACAGCAAAGACGAACAGCAAAAATGGTAAATCATAATTGCTTTCTAGAAGATTTCAGTAAAAGCAGTCGCAGTAGTGAACCCTGCATTAATTTAAAATTAACTAATTAATTTAAAAATCAACTTGATGAACGTTATGAAATGATATCATATCATTTTTAACAATATTTATTATTATTAATAATATTAATAATATTTAATTTGATTTAATGAGAAGCTGAATCCAAATAAAAAATAGAATTATTGAAAATTTTTGAAACAAAATGGATTTGTTTGTTGCAAAATTTAAACTGAGTTTTGGTTTAACGATTGAATCTGGTTGACTTGAGGTGAAGCGAATTAAGCAAACCATGTACGGTGAACAAGTTTTTGTATCCTTTCGTCAACATTTTTTCGATTTTGCATCTCTTCAATTTTTTCCAAATTAACTTTTTGAATTTTTTTCTTTTCATCCTTCCATGATTTAGTTTTTCATGAATTTTAGAATTTAATAGAACCATATGGATTTCAATTCTCTTCTCATCCTGCCGAGTGGGATGTTGCTTTGTCAAGAAACACCGTAGATTCCATTCCTACCTATTCTTTTTGATGAAGGAACAGAATGACCAAATGGATAGAGGCTCATATTAATTTTTTGTGTTGTATCCTATTGAGAAAAGATTAAACGGTTAAACGTTAAACCATTTATACCGCTTGCTGGAAATAAATAAACTATAAATAAATAAAATTCCACATAAATTCAATAATTTTTTAAAAGATTTTTCATGCCATAAACTCGATAAATAATAATTGCAAATCGTGTTAATACTATTATTCATCTGTTACTGAGATTCCTTACTCCTTAGAGTATCGCGATGGAATCTGTTATCAAATATTTATTTCGCTCTTAAAAACCCCATTTTTGTGGAAATTCATTTGCATGAAATAATTATGGAAGGATATGTTGGAAAAAAGGTTTTTATAAAGAACTGTTTAACAAAAATTAACTTATTAACTTAAAGATTTTTTTGTCGTTTTTTATATCTAATTTTTTAAATTGATTTATTTTTGCAAATTCCAACGTAAACTTTGGTTATTACAAATTTTGTTTGGTAAAGTATATTTATTTCTTTCTATTGCTATTTGTAATTTGCAATTTTTAACTTAAATGTTTAGATTCACGAAGAGGAAAAAATGAAAGATAATAATTGGCTTAGGGATTTCAAGGAATTTCTTTTAAAACTAATTACTAGAAAATTAATTTTACTTTTTCGATGTTTTTAAATATATTGCTCGATGATTCTGCTATTTTCGGCAATTTGACTTCTTTTAAATCCATTTTTATGGAAATATCTATATCTATTTACAAGATTGGTTCAATGGAATAATGGCTCAGTAGGTTGTTCAATTCAGAGCGACGCTGAAATTCTACTATCTATAGAAATAAGTCTACATTTCCAAAATCCAGGTGGTATTGACAATTTTCTATTTCTATTGCTCTTTGGTGAAACTTTATCTGATTCGACAAGTCACCAGAGCAAAGCCTGGACAGCAAAGACTTTTAAAACAGAAAAGAATTCTATTCTATTTAAACAAGATTATTCTATACTAATTCTATTTAAACAAGATTATCATATATACGTTTTTTGAAATTTTCGCTGTTTATTAGTAATATAATAGTAATATAATATTATTAATAATGAATTCCATCATCCTATAATAATTTTTTTAAATAAAAATTTTTTCTCGACGTTTTATTATTCGTATTATATATTGCTTAATTAACCCAGAGAAAAATACCGGATTTCTACTGAATTAATTACTGGTGCTAAAAATCAGGGTGGATGGTCAAGCCGTATTTGATAGTTTAGATTAAGTTATCAGTAATTTAGACTAAGTTCAAGCATCATGCATTTAAGTCCTGTATCTTGATGAATGACAGGATAAAACCCATCATGAATGAAAGGTGCTGCATACTTCTATTTCCACGTAACTCATCCCACCTTGACAATCAGTTCAGCCAACTGAATTAGAAATGGGGTTGGTATGTTGAGGTTGATATTAATGCTTATCACTGAGGGATGAAGCTTAATTTTAGACATTTTTTTGTTCGCAAACTACTAGTACACTATTTCAAAGGGTTTATTAAAGTTTTTAAAAAATTTCAAAAAATTTCAAAAAAGAATCTAATTTATTCATTATCCTTAATCACTGTTTATTGTGAATTTTTATTTGCCAGTATTTCAATGGGGAATTCAATGGGAATGGGGAATTGATGGTTATTTTTCATTAATTCTGGTAATTTATTGCATATTTATGTAATTTAGTGGCCATTTCGATATCCTTTAGCTTTCTAGAGTTGATAAATTACAAGAATTGCTTTATCAAGTCTCAGGTGATGTGTTGATCTATTGCCTTGCATGATTTATTGCTTAATGAAAATTCCGCAACTCTGATTTTTTTTTTCCTATATAAATCTATGCGTTTAATTATGTTTAACAGAGTTTGAAAGACGATTATACGGTTAAGACGATTAAATTTATCGTGTTTCCCATGCGCGGGAAAAGTGAATACAAGAAAAAAAATAAAAGGAAAATTCAAGATCCTTGGTGCAAAAGTAATTTGTTTTTAAAAAAAGATTCAAAAAATTTTTTTTCAAAGTCTCGACGAATCCAATTGAAAATGAAGGATTTTAATAAAATGAGTGTTAAACAATGGGTAATAATTATTTTGGACCAAGAAGAAAAACAAATTTAAACAAATTTTTTTTCAAGAATGAATATTTGCGATTTTCTATAATCGTATACATTTTCTTAGTCGTCTTAACCGTATAATCGTCTTTCAAACTCTGTTAAACATAATTAAACGCATAGATTTATATAGGAAAAAAAAAATCAGAGTTGCGGAATTTTCATTAAGCAATAATAAGTGATAATAATGATAACAATAATAATAAATGGCAATAGGAAGGGATTTGTGCAGAAGAATGCATTATAATATTTGAAAACATATGTGTATAAGAAAAATTCTAGATTCATTCCATATTCCAGTTCATTGTTAAAAATAAAGGATGTAAAATTTTGCCTTGGTAAAAATACGTAAACCGTATGAAATATAACTTTATCAGTTCCATTATGATCATTAAAATTGCAAAAAACATCGGTTTTGTACCAAAATCTGACGAAACATCTTGGATGCTCCATGTTAATGCTAATATTATATTAATAATTGCATGGCACTTATGAGCCTTTTTAAAATATATATATTTTAATATATTTATAATATATTTTTTGAGTTTTTTCTTGGTTTCTTCAAATTTGTTAGATTATAAGAAAAACGCCTTAGGGCAGCAAACGAATTGGATTACAATAATATGAAGTTTATCGTTGCTCAAATTGATTTATATTCTAACTGATCTTATCACTTTTCCTACCTCTGAGATCTTTTAATGAACATTGAGTTGTTTTATTACAATTTTATGATAATTTTACTTACAAGAACAAAAAAACGACAAATAATCATCAAGGAAGAATAGCATAATTCATAAATCCACCATTATCCATTTGAAGTTTAGGTCTTTTGATCTAGAATTTTTCAATGGATTTTTATAGAATTGAACTAGTCTGCCGGCGTTGGAGGGAATTGTCAATGCTGGCCAATCGTTGCGACGAAAAACCTGTTTGGGTTTATATTATATTTCGAAAGAATCATTGCAGTGGGCATGAAAAAATGACAGTCAATATGAGTTTTGATGGTCCCGTTTTTTGGAATCGTCAAGTCGCTTATATTTATTGTTGCAGTTGCCATTTTGTCGAACATGAAGTAAGTTAAGCTTAAAGATTAAATAATAATTAATTCAATTATGGTTTATATTTATTCATAGGTTGAGCGTACTTATATATATATATATATATATATATTACCAGCATAATCAGTATTTTTGGATCAGTATTTGTATTTTTGGACAGGTTTACTTCTGCGGGAGTAGAATCTCAGTTCTACATTGAGCAACAACAACAACGAGCTATTTTAATCTCTTTTGCTTATCGCGGTAACTACACTGCTGCCACGAAGAATGGTGCGTCAACTGATTCGAGGCCTTGATTAAGGGCAGGATAACTCAGGCTCGACTCATGATAGGCATAAACCTGTCATTAAAAAGCCACAATGCCTCGTTATTTTTATGCCAACTGATTCATTGACAAAAATTTCTAACCGTACTAATATGCAGCTGAACGAGCCTAGCCAGAAATAATGAGCATCAGTCGCTTTTTATTTTACTAAAAGTGAAGAAAAATAGTGCAAATTACTTTGGTAAACAGTTGCAATTTTAGGATTTTTTCTTTATTTCATTTTAGAAAAAAAGTTTATTTCCCACATTTTCTATGACTTAAAATCGTTTATTTTTTTATTCGCAATGAGCGAATATTATTCAAAAAATAATACTTTGGATAATCAATGGACTATAAAAAGAGCCAATTGTTTGCATGCGCATGTCATTAAAGATGACAATTTTGACTGTCATTCATTTTTTCCTTATCATTTTTTAACACCACAATGGAAAATTAAATTGAAAAATGGGAAGCATATTTGCCGTTTGCGATGATAATAAATTTTAGGAATTTTAATACATAAATATTTGATACATAAATATTATTATTTTTATTCATTATAATTATTATTTTGTATAATAATACAATATTATGGTTTTTATTTTTATGTACAATATTTAATATATAAATTTTACTTTTGTTTACATTTATATTTTTGTGCTTATTTTTGTATTAATTAAATTTTTTGCTTAAAAATTATATTTTATTTATTTTATGTTTTATACAATATTTTATATAATTTTATACTTACTAATATTATTTAACGAGTTTATCTCATTTTTTGAATCGTTTATTTTTATAATAAATAATTAATGGTTGTGATCCAATCTTTGGCATAAAGGGCGATTTAAAATTATTTTTTAATTTCAATAAAATATAAAAATATTTTTTTAATTTCAATTTTTAGTTATATTTAAAATGAAATGGTATAAGCTGGACTTCTCGAAGCATTTTCTCCTTTTCCAAACATAAATTTGATAATTTGCTTCAAGTTGCAATAATTAAACATTGATATTTTTTGAACATTATTTGAATATTAGAATTAATTGAATAATATTTTTATTTTCTTCTTCTTCTAATAGCTCTCACTAATTTTGATCAGGCTAATTCCATTGGAAGAATAAAATGTTTCCAAGCTGCATGATCTGATGCCATCGTCAACAATAATAGAAGCCATTCACTTTTCCAGTGACTAAGCCCATATGTTGCTGATCCACTCTATACATTCAAATTCTTTTCTGACCGTACTAGTCCGGGTCATGACTGGCCCACCTCGCCACCCATCGCAGGGTTTAGCAAATAACGAAATAAGTGTAAACTCTTGTGGTGAGCGTCGAAGAATAACATTAACCAGCGAAGGCGATGCTCTGTGATGCTGCTGTTAATGAAGTGGTTTTGAAGATGGGTGCGACCATGTGAGATTTTATCGACGAATAAGTGGTCAAAGGCGAATAATATCCTCCACTCTCATTGACCATGTTTCGCAGCCATATATCAAGATCGAGCGAATCACAACTATATAGATGCGGACTTGTATTTTTAAGGTGATTTAGCGATGGTCCCATAAAAGTTTCGTCAACTCGAAAAACACATTTCTAGCTGCCTTAATCGGAGTTGTAACATCATTTTTTGCTTAGCCATTCAGTATTAGAGTGGATTCAAAGTATTAAAATCGGACATTTTCTCAGCTGGCAGTAAAAAGAGGTATTTTATCAGCTTACTGTACATAAGACGAAAAGATTTACCTTGACGCTTATTCTCGATTCTCGCTGCAGCTGTTGATGCATTGTTTAGCTGTTTTTTCATATTTATCAGCAAAAAGGATTACATCATCAACGTATTAAAAATCTTCATATGATATCTCTGGACTGATTTATATATCTCTTGAGTGCTAACAAGCGACGTTCATTATCCAGTCTATCGCATAATTGAATATTGTAGGGGAACGGAGATAATCTTGACGGACACTAGTTTTTATTTCGAGGAAGTCTGTAAGTTCCCCATATATACCGACCTACACCGAGGTACTATAAAATGCCTTCATAAGTCGAATGATCTCTGGAAAATTTTCATGTTCCATCACTCTTCAAAGCGCTGTTCTATCAATTGAATCGAAGGCTGCAAAGTCAATGAAATCCTTAGCTGTGAGTTTCAGTTGCAGATATTTGTTCCCTTCTTAACATGAATGTCTATTCAACATAATTTTGCCCTAAATCGAACTTGATTAGGGCGCATCCTACTGTCCCTTACTGTCATAACCCTATTGAATAGAAAGGAAGCAGAAAGATGTCGAGTAACCTGATTCCTCGATAACTGTAGCAGTATGTCCTGCCATTTTTTTTGGAAATTGAGAGCGAAATTTCTTTACTCCAGTCATCTGGTAATATGTCTTTCTTCCATACCAGAAAGTTCATTTGTTGAAGATGAGTTTTGAAGGACGATGGACAACATTTGAAAAGTTCAGATTACTTTTTCTTTCTCTGATTAATTTTTCTTTTCTTTCTGACGGTTCGCTATAAGAATGATTTTCTAGTGCGGAACTCCTCTAACGCTGACTGATATAATCGATATAATCGATCTGATTGGAATGTTGGTTATCCGGAGAGTTCCACGTGATTAAATGTCTTTTTCCGAAGCATGTATTAGTAACAAAAAGTTCATGCTTTTCGGCAAAGCGAGAGGAGCATTCTTCATTGACGCACCAGATTTCGATTCTATCTATATTTGCCCATCATCGAGTTCATCATGACGGCATCATGGCCTACGCGTGCATTCCAATCTTCCCCGATTATGACCATGTCATATTTCGGTAGGGAAATTTTGTTAGCTATAGATTTTGTTATTTTGTAGTTAATTCTGCTTAGAACTTATCGTTATCACGGTCATTTGCCAACAGAGTTGCTCCAAAATATACAGTAATGACTGAAATATTGCAGAATTTCCCTTTTAAATGAACACAGACCATAACGTCGTTTGCTTTCTTCCACTCATTCAGAGCAGATTAAGCTTTTTCAGATAAGGCAATCGCTACGCTATTTCGCTTCGAGTTATATATAACCAGTATCTCTGCTCGCAGCCATGCTTAATTTCTCGAGATTCGTAGTGACGAGGACGGGCCTCCAATAAGCAGGCGGCATCTACACGATATTTGGAATGTGGGTAGTGATCCCTTGCCCTGCAACGTCCATAAGCATTCTGATACGGCTAATACCTCGGCGCACGTGCAGAAAGCTGTTCCCATTGATAGGTTTCGATCAGTGACCTTGGCTTCCGAGCATTTTATTTACAAGCTTTGTGATCGTTTTGCGCTCCGATTATAGTTATCGCAAGTACCAGCGTGCTGGGTATCTTGCGCATTGGAGGGCGCGGATGTATCAAGAGCATCTGACCTTTTCATTAGGTAGATTTAGCAGCCACCTGGACTTTTTATATGGCAGCTTTATTCCTGTCGAGGACAAAGATGAAGTAGAAAAAAAAATTAAAAAATTAAAAAAAAATTTAAGAAAAAATATTATAATAATATTTTAGGGACCAATGATGGTGTTTATGAAAAAACTGGAGCATTGTGTGGAACGAATTTGCATTGTAGATAAACCTGTCGATTATCCGTTTCTTCCCGATAGTTTATTCTCATATATAGCTAAATGTATGCCACGATTACAAGTAAGCCATTTTTTTTCAGCTAGGGAAACTGTAAAACAGTACTGAATCAAATTTGCCAAGAAAGCCTATAAACTTGTTTATGGTGGTTAAAAGTTGCGTTCTAATTCACTTCTCTATAGATTGTCAGCAACTGATTATTTGCTAGCCATGATTATTCTTCCACTTTACTTGATTAATTTTTCTGGGTTTTGACAAACTTAGAATTATTTTAGATTTTGATAAATAAGGAATCTAAAAGAACTTTCTTTTGTGAAATACTGGGGTTTTTTTATTTTCATTTAAATAATTCATGCTGTATAGTTGATAAAATTATTTTATTTTTCTCTTCCTTTTAAATTAATGGGGCAGTGGTAGATAAATCGTTTTCACTTTGACTGACATGTATAATTCCGATCGTTCGGTAAGAATAAATGTTCATTACTGTTAAATTTGACTTATTTGAATTATTTTAGAGGTTTGCTTTTACACCAAATGGTTTTCTAGCGAAAAAATCTGGTCTCAATAATCATTCAGTGGAGTCAGCAGAACTAGAATAAAAAAAAATTTTTAAACTTAGTTTTTGTCCAACAAATTATCTAGGCTGGAATATCGGTAGTCTTATTGTTCTTAGCTCCCACTGCATTGATCCAAGCACTTTTAGAATAATTCATGAACCACTGAATTATTATTGTTTATAATTATTTATTATCATTTGTTAACATTTTATTTATTATTATTATCACTATCATTATTATTATTAATTATTATTATGATTGTGAAGAATAGAGCAATAAGAAGAGTAATCCTTTTCTTAAGGCTGAACCTTTCCTTCAATTATTGTTCTTCCAGCTCTTACCATTACTGGTTAGGCTGGCTCTACTGGCCACAAGTTTACAAGGGTAAAACGATTCCAAACTGCGCAATCTGATGATACTGTCGACAGTAATAGAAACCATTCCTTTTTCATCGTCTAAGCCCATACACTGCTGGTTCTATAGGTTCAAAATCTTTTCTGACCGTATCAGTCCAGGTAGCCACCCATCATAGGATTTAGCAAGTAACGAAATATGCGTCAATTCTTGTGGTGGACGACGAACATATCTTAACCAGCAAAGGCGACACCTTGCGATAACATTATTAATACAGGTGGTATTTGAACGAAAGATGCGATCATATAAGATTTTATTCATTCGGCGAACCTGTGCCTTAGATATACCTTAGACATGAGTGGCCAAAAGTAGATGACTTCCTCATATTGTCCATTCTCTTGGCCATGTCTCAGAGCCATATAGCAAGATCGAACGAATCACGGCTATATAGATGCGGACTTTAGTTTTTATGGTGATTTCATGACGGCTCCACAAAGCTTTCGTGAACTAGAAAAACACATTTCTAGCTGCCGTTATCAGAGTTTTAATTTCTTCTTTGGTATTAAAGTGGGCCTAAGGTACTTAAAATCGGATAAATCGGATTCCTCAACCGGTAATGAGTTTATAAAAAGAGTTATTTTTTTAAATTATTATTCATTATTCATTTTCAGTTCATTTATCTCCGGGAAATCGATCTAGAAAAAATAAATCGAGGTACAGTGGTGGAACTGGCTGGGCATCCTCAACTTAAAAAAGTGATAGTTCATGGATGTCGAAATTACGAAGTATATCTAAAGTGTTTGACAGTGTTTGATCTTTTTTTTAAGTATTTGAACAAAAATTATGATAGTAAGTAAAGATATTTGGCGAGATGGTTTTCCATTATGCCAAAACATTTTAAAAATCATATTGAAAAATTCAGTGCTTATTATTCATTATATTTATTTGTATTTTTTTCAGGTATTCCAAGATTTCAAAAATTTGCCTCAATTGCTAGAGGTCAAAGGTGATATCATTGGGCTAAAGGTACACATTTTCAAATTGCGTGATGAAAATGTGCAAACATTTTCTGCGACGAAAATTTGTAGAAAAAAACTATTTTTAATGTTAAAACTATTTTTAATGTTATGAATTTCCCTAAACTATAAAAAAGTGCAAAAAATAAGAAAAAATTATGAAAAACTGAAGAAAAGATTTTAACAAATGAATCAATTTACTATGTTTTTATGCCTACAATAATTGTTAATGCACACCATTTCAAGCTTCTCTTGCTACTCATATAGTTACAGATTTTTTCACACTATTGTAAAAAATAAATTTTCACTTAGCGATAAAAATTAGGTCGCAGCCAGCATCCGGATTTCACTCTCGTCTGGGTAGAACATGTTCTTGCCTTTAAACTCTACAATCTAAACCATCAGCATCAACTCGTCTATCTTGCTTTTAATGTCGAATACGATCCTCTTGATTTTTTTCAGGCTATGCTTGGAGATCTTCCAGCTATTGAAGAAGCAGAAGGTGGAATCGCTTCTCCAAAACAAGAGATTAAAGTTTAAATTTAAGTTTAAGAGATTAAGTTTAAGAGAGAAAGCCATCTAAAATATGTTATTTAATTAATAATATAATTTATAAAAGTTATTTATTTAATCTAAAATTTCACAATGATGTATGGTTTTTGAACAGAATTCTCGCTCCAAATGCAATTTTTTTTGCCATTTGATTAAGCCTTTCCATTTGCAACTCTCACTTGCTTTCTACTAAAACATATTTTCTACTTTCTGGCAATGCTAATTATTTTATCGAGTCTTTATTAATGGGCCGCAAAAAATTCGTTCGGCTTCGTTTCGTTTGTTTTATAGGAGAATAACTTTTCTGAAAATCAGTTTAAGGAGTCAAACACTTTTTACAGAACGATAGGGACTTTTTTTGATCAGCGTCAATTGTCATGTCAAGATAATATGCTTTCCATTTATTTAGGATCCGAACTTCTTAAAATTGGACGGTTGGAAGTTTTTTTCAAATTCCTTTTATTTCTTTTTAGTTCTCTTTAAGGAAGCTGTCGAAAAGGTGAAAGAAATAAGTCTTAACAAAAAATCTGATGGCAGATGGAGAGGATTTCAGTGTTCAACTCCGCAAATTTTCATTTTTGGCGTGCAATCTAGAATTGCCGTACAGAACGATAGGGACTTTTTTTGATCAGCGTCAATTGTCATGTTTTTTATTTATATTTTTAATTCTAGCTTTCTATTGTACAATTCTGCTTATGAAAAGCTATAGCGAATCAATCCTGCTTTAAGCCACCGAATAATCTTTTCGAATCTGATTTTGGCACGGGGAATTTATTCCTATCCGGTCATTTCGCAGTTTCTTTCCCGGTCGTATTTCATTTTCTATCCAAATAAAAATCGGCCCTAGAGAAAAGAATCATTTGTGTCCTATTGACATTGAATAATACATCTCCAAACCTATTCAATCAAATCGTAGAAAACCTATGTCTTTATAAACTTTTTCTTTTTCTTTATTGCATTCTACATCATGTCAAATTCTTTTGCTAGATGTGCACAGGTCCTTCTGGAATTAGTTTCCACTATTTTCTTCGAGGAATCGTTAAAAGAACTTAAATGTTTGAGGTCTCATAATTTGAATTTAACAAAACTTCATCAGAAGCTATTTATATATTTCGAAATGCCTTTGTAGCTGGGTGCCTCAGTTCTCAATGTCGAAAATCACATCGAATCCTAATGAACCAAATGAACTAAAAAAAAATGTATCGGTCTTAGAGGAAAAGAAACGAGATCAAAGTGAAAACAGCATTATATGCTGCCAGTGGTATGCCAACAAAAACTGTCTCGAAGCCAGATGGAAAAAGGAACAAACTTTTTTAAAACTACCTTTGAATTTTTTATTAAATTAAATCTTAAATTATAAAAATGCTTCGAAGTTAAATTGATATTGAAACGGAAATTTGTGAAGTTCAGGCCTATTTTGCTAAAACGATTTATTTTGCCGAAAGTATCACAAAAACGAAAAGTGAAAAAGTAAAAAATAGATCTGCACTGGCAACAGAAAGGCGAAGTTCGCCATAACCCCCATTTAAATTAATGAACTGCATTTGAAGGACTATGGCATGGTTCAAGGAGAATTAAGTAAGGATGCGGTACCAAGGAAATATATTTTATAAAGGGGTTAAGAGATCCCTACTATTTCGCAGTTTGTGGTCTTTTCAGCTCGTCTAATATAGCTTGCTTTGGCGGATAATGGCACGAAGAGACGTTGGGGGTATGACAGCTTTTAGAAGTGGGAAGAGAGTGCGGAGTTTTAGAATACATCAAGGAAACTCAATGATTTGAAATGATTTGAAATGATTTTAAGGAATTATAAACAGGATTTGTGAATTGTGTGCAGATTTGAGGAAGTGAACGGGCTTTTTGGAGATAAATTAAAGTATATAAGAAAAGGACTGCATCACATAAATAATAGCAATAGGAAATTACTGCGAACTTAAAGTCATTCATGATTCTTTTATGCTTCTATTCCTTTCTATTCCTTCTATAGTTTTTCCATTCGAGGTTTTCTTCGCTTTCTAGAAATCCGATCTTTACTGATGTGTGGCTGTTCTAAATTATTTGCGAAGATTAAGCGATCGGCAGAATTTGAAATTAATAAATATTTGTTTATGTAAATGATCCGTCTTTTCTGCATCATAAATATTTTATTTTTCATTTATTATTTCCGCCCAGTATTTCATTTTGTCATTTTAAAAGCGTAAACAACGTTTCTTTATTTGTCACTTAAAAAATTGCAGATTTTAAGCCATAAAAGAGACATTTAGATGATACAAATTAAATTATACTTATTCATATTTCCTTAATTTTTTACTTAAATAAATGTATGCTTCAATTGCAAATTTTGCTATTGCACTCGTCACTTTAAATAAAATGCAGTTGTTTTTCAACTCATCTGAGATTACTTCTCTACTGAGAGAAACGACATAACAACACTCAGCAACTTTGTATATGAATTAAATTTTATCATTCGCTTATTTGCTGAATATTTGTTGAAACGATTTGATTTGTTGAAATTATTATAACTAAACTGCACTTTGCATGGTTTTCAAAAATCAACTGTCGACTTTACGTCAATTCTAAGGAGACGAATTTAATAGGAAAACTAAAATTGCATAAAATTACAAAATCACATAACTAAAATTAAAAAAATTACATAAAAATTACATAAGCGTTTCGTTGAGGAAACAAACATTTTCCACTGCAGAAATATTTGCAATTTGCTATTTTATTCTCAAATATAATTTTTCTAAATGCAATAATTCCATTTTTATCCTTTAAAATTCCTTTTAAATTTCCATATATTTTCTATAAAATTTAATTGCAAATTATAAGCAAAATTAAAGTTAAAGTTAAAATTAATTCGTTAAAACAGCCGCATTTTCTTCGAGCACAGCACTTACGTTGTGACGTTGCAATTACATATTACAGTGTACAATAGAATAACATTGATGCGCTCGCTATCGAAGAGTATTAATTATCACAGATAATGCAATCGATTTTCGATAAAACATTGGACAAACATCGGACGTTGATGTGATAAAACCGAAATTTAGTTTCTCCATGGCCATGAAATTAAGTGGTTAGGAAGTATGGCAAGATTTTTTGTTTTAGCAATTTTGCTTAAAAACTTGTATATATATTGCAAATTGCAAATAATATCGGAGTGCGTGGAAAGCCACCAAATTCAGCTTGAGGATTTCAGCTTGAGGATTTATAATAGGGCAGCTGAACTGAGCAGAAATGGTGGACGGCGTCAGAATATCTTCTGGAAGATATCGGAAGGAGGGTCCGAAAAGGCGACAAATTATTGGCTGGAAATGACTTTAGTTCAGCCTTCACCCTTAGCACTTGCGCTACAAAATACGCATAAATTGCTAAACAAGCGTCAGCACCTCAGTTCGTCGATAAAGGATCGAAACGATCGCCGAACCCGAAACGCAGGAAATGGGAAAATATAAACGGTCGGCTCTCCCGAGCCCTAAACACAATTAATGCAGAGCGGCGCTTCGTCAATAACGCGTTACCAACGCATCGACTCGAATAACAGATGCCGCTCTCGTTCCGTAGTCTTCCCGTAGTCGCGTGCGTACATTTTTCCATTCAATCTTCGCTTGGCCTATTTGTTTTATTTTTCCAATTTTTATAGAATTAAAGTAGAGCACATTTTTGTAAATAGGTGAAACCTTACGGTAGCTCACGCTCGGGCAGATTACCGCGTTCCTCCGTGCGGAGAAGCCAGCTAAGTGCCCAAATTATCATTTCGAAGTTTTTCCGTCCTCGACAGAAGTCAGCTAGTATCGGAAACTCATCTGCAGTCCGCAAACTATTTCCTCAAATTGCTGCGAAATCTCTCTTTATACTTGGCTGCAGCGCCATCACTCTATTTACATAAATTTATTTTTCCTTATTACCGTAATATTCCCTCAAATGAATCAATTATTCGTGTGGTCTTCCAGTATTGTTTGGCATTTTCGCAGCATAATTTAGTGACTGGTGCCGGATAGCCAATAAATACCAAAAAACCCGCATTTCCACTTTGGTGGATCTCACGCCGAGGCTCGCAGTCGCTTTAAGACGTATTTTGGCTTTCGTCGCCAAGGTGCGCATCGTTTTGGGCAAATGCAGATTCCTGCTTATGCTATTATGAATAATCGTTTTTCGGTCAAATATTTCTTTTCTGAAATAATAGCTTAATTTCACATAGAAACCGTCGTATCTTTGGGATTTATTAAATTAATTCGTATGCGTTGGAACTTCCCATTGGCTGAAAATTCTAAACAAATGATTTTTTACTTTGCGTTCATTCACGTTTGTTGAAGTCCGATATTAATTTTCAGGATGGATAGCATGAAAGGTGGTCCAGATTCCAGTTTTAATGATAATTTAATTCGAGAAGTACGCCGTAACCCAATAGTTTATGATGCGTCTCATCCACTTTATGGCAATGCTTTAAAAAAACAAGAAACTTGGGGAGAAATTGCAGGAAAACTTGGTGAAAAAGGTAACTTTTTTTATTAGTCAAATATAGGTTCTCTTCGCTGTAAAATTAAGAACTATCTTATTTTTTCATTTCTTCCTTTCTTTATTTTCTCCAAATTTTGGCGATATTGAAAATTATCTTTTATAATTTTTACAAAAAATTAGTTCAAATTTTATTGTATTTTGCTTTCATATTTATCAAAAATCTATTGAATGAAATTTGCCCATTAATTAAAATTATGTGGCCGAGTGCATTTATAGACCGAAATTAGATGTCCTACGAATTAGATGAAAGTAACGAAAGGCGTAGACGAAAGTGAAATTCTTTCTTATGCCACTGGCAATCTAGTGGAGTCTATGGACTTGTTTTCTGAGTAATTTTTTGAGTAGAGCGAAAAGCATAGGAGTACAGTGGAAAAATATTTCTATTACTATGATAATCATAAGTAGTGTTAACATAGTTGCGGTTTTTGCGTGACTTAAAGAAATAAATTTCAGTTAGAGATTAGTGAAAATATAAATTTTTTCCAATTCAAACTGCCCTAGAATCCTCTAAATTCTGCCCAGCGATCTCTTAGGAATCCATGCATTCCATTTTAAGGAACCTTTTCTAGAAATGATGTATTAACGATCAAACATTGCACTTAAGTATTCTTTTTTAATTTAATTTAAACCTGAATTCAAAAAATTAAATTTCATTTTAATATGAATTGTAAAAACTGTATGAACAGTTCAAAAAGAATTTAGTCATTCCTTGGCTAAGCTCGCTTTTGATTTCTTTAAAACATTACAATATATGATATAATATAGACGACACTGCAGAAAATGTACTGAGAGGATTCGAAGCTTTTTGCTTGGCAGAAATAGCTTAGTGGATAGTAATTGGGATTATCGTATTGAGAGGATTCGAAGCTTCTAAAAGTAGCAATACCCAGCGGAGCTAGCACGTCAAAAAAGTGAGCGTAATATAATTGCGTAATTTTTTTGCGTAACTTGAGAAATAATTATTTATATTTTAAAATAAAAATTTATTGATTTTTCTATGTAAAAAAATTCGCAAATTTTAATATTTTAATACTAACGATAAGTATTATTTGTCATAATTTGCATGAAGCAGTCGTTGAAAATTTTTGCCTTTCTATAAATTATTCTTAAATTTTTATCTATTAATTTTGCCATATTTTCAGACTTTTTTCTTTTGCAATTAATTTCAGAAGATTTTCAGCATTTCTGCTGAATCGAACTACCATAGAACTTCAGTGGAATGCTGCATGTTTGCAATTACATTGCACCATTTTTGGATATGCAAGCTGTATTTGCATATTCTTCTTTTTTTTTTTTTTTTTCTTCTTTCCTTCCTTCTTCTCCCTCTTTTTCCTGTTTCTCTTAATTTGTACTTTCTTTCCTATTTTTAAAGAATGAATGATTTCGTTTACAGTTGAAGCCGTAAAAACACGTTGGCGAACATTGCGCGACAGATATACCAAGGAGCGACGTCGAGTAACGACTCTTGGTGGTGGTTCGACGTTTTCATATTACTCTGATCTCAGTTTCCTCGATCACTGTACAAATGAAAATAGGTTTCGAAGTTATTCTTTTGGATTTCTTTAAATTTTAGTTCAATTTAAACGCTTTTTCAAGGAGCGCATTTTTATTGGGCGAAATTTATATTTATAAACTTTTTGAAAAACAACTTTCATTCCTTTGGAATTTTATTTTATTTATTTTATTTTAAATAAAATTTTATTTTATATATTTAGTCTTCATTGTTCAATTTACCTTTTTTCCATTAATTTTTTTGGAATCCTAAGGCTTATTTTAATCAAATCAAGAGATTTTTTTATTTTTTTTGCCTTTGCATTAAATTTAATCTATTGATTAATACATTTTTTAGAAAAAGTCATAATAACTTGATTGGAACGCCTTTTAAGCCAGAATTTTTTGACCAAGCATCAGATGGTAGTGATGATATCGTTTCTCACCAAGGTGAAATCAACAGGTATTTAATTAATAGAAAATTTTATCTCCATCTAAAAATTTTTGAAGAATTTGAAAAAAATCGAAATTTAAGAAATTTTGAAAAATTTTTCGTAGATCAGTTGAAAAGAGGAGGATTTTTTCTTGGAAAATTTTGATTTTATTTTTATATCAAATTTAAGATGAATCCTTAGGGTTGAGAATCAAGAAATCGCTCATATGGATGAAAATGAAGCATCAGTATCTAATCATGGTATCTCTAATCAGCGATTCGTGCAGCCAACAATTATACTAAATGATCAAATACTTGAAGATATATTACCTAATAAAAGAGCCAAGGTTGAGACAAATTCACAGTCGACTTCAGATTCAGTCGCAGATGCGCTTTTTCGTAGCGCTGAAGCACTTCAACGCATTGCCGATCGCCGCTTGCCTGGTCAACGATTATCTACATCAATTGTACGAGATTTGCGAGATGTGCGAGATGTTGATGAATGTTTTGCTGATTTCGTATGTATGGCACTAAAAGCTATCGATAACGAAAGTCGTGTTCATGCTCGTATTGCAATTCTGCACGCTTTGGCTCAATACCAGATTTAATTGCTGAATTCTTTTCAGTACACCTGCAAATCTTACCGCAAATTTGTAATTTCCTTCACATTTCTAAATACTTTTTTAGATCCCTTTTTAAAACAGTTTTTTGACATTCCTAATTTTGAATTTTGCAAACAAAATTTTTTCAAATAGTGATTCGAATAGAGGAATACTTAGTGCTTAAAAAGATTTAGCTTGGGCTATATATTTTCAATGCATTCTGATTAATTTCCATCTACTCCTCATTAACTCGAAGCTTTTTTTTCATGGCAGCACTCGAATCTTCTGTTTTGTATGGATCAGATTTTTCGCCAATGAATCATTTGGGGACCCGGTAGTATTGGAAAGATCTTTACTGACTATTAAGTCAATCCCTTCTTTCTGGACCTTTATTCTTAAATAACTTCATTATTTTCTTAATGTTTTTACACTGTTTGAAATTTTAATTTAGCCACACATACTTTCACCACAATTAACTATATGGGCATCTGTTAATTCAAATAAAGTTTATACTATGTGCTATAAAATTCACAAAACATTTGCTCGTTTCACATGCTAAATAAGCAGTTCTCTTTTTTTTCATAAAACGTTAATAAAAATGGACTCTCGGCAGTATTGTAGAGATCTGAATTTAGTTACAGTAGTTGTTCAACTCATTTAAAATGTATTTAAAAAATCAGTCTGATAGAGAAATTTCCAGAAAGTAAGACAGGTTGCCACAAGAAAAGCGAAAGAAAGTAGGAATGTCGCTTTCCATCTACGATTTAACAGAAAACTATGGTGAAGCAGTTATCAAAACAAACAAAAAAAGAACCACTAATAGGTTTTTTCTCTAATCGAGCTATCTCTTGCTTTTCATCTAGTAACACTCAACCCAAATTAGTCGCCATTTTTGATACAATTTTGATCATTTACGAATAAGAACATAAAATTCCATTCTCTTCAAATAATGTTGAAAGACTGAAGTGGTATTAACAAATCTATAAGTTATTTCTTTGTAAAAATAAAATAAAAGTAAAATAAAAGTAAAGTAAAAATAAAAATAGAAAGTATAAAAACGAAGACACAAGGTAATGATAGTAAAATGAAAAAAAACAACAAATATAAATAATATGTGCAAAAATAGCAAAAAACAAACAAACAATATTGATACCTAATAACTGATATTTAAATATCGCTAAACCAGCGGTTTTCTCAATCTCTTCTATAGTCTCCCTCCTTCCTCAGAGAACAAATTTGTTCAGATCTGTGGCCCCTTTCATTCAGAAAATGCTAATTTTACTGAAAGGCAAATAAGAATCGCACTGAGCACTCGGAAATGGTAAAAACAAGATGGAGAGTTTTTTCGAATTAATCAAAGTGTTTCACGTCTCGTCTCGTTCCACGAAAAATAAAATTTCATTTGACTCAAAATAAAAAAAAGTCAAGTAATGAAAAAATTAATTATAGGGAATTACACAATTAATTACACAAAATATTCCAAATTGTAAATTGCATCCTAAAATTTCGAAAAAAATGGAGTACTCTAACAATAATTTTGAAATTCCAATATATGATATTGTTCTGAAGGAAAATTTTTCGTGTGAGCCTTACAACTGATAAGAAAAAGTTAGTGTTTAACTGCAAATCCGTTAAATATAAGCAAAGATATTTTTTTTCTCATTATTCTCTTTTTCCTCAACTATAATCCTTCTTGTTATGGAAATATATTTCAAATAGGCCAATTTCAATTGATTTCATATGACATTTAGAATTAATTCTCCAAAGTAGAAAATAATTATTGTATTATATTTTATTTTTTATTTTTAAATTTAGTTTCTTTAAAGCTCTATGTTTCCTCCCACTGGCACTTCCTGTGTTTCACCATTTTTCCGAATTTTCCTGTGGGTATTCAGAAATATTTGCACGGTCTCCCAAGGCCATGTGGTTCCCACTGAGAATCATTGGACCAACCACTCTAAGGCCAAATAGTCTAGAAAATACCAAAGCAATAATTGATTATCTCTTGAGAACATTTTGGTATTATTTTCCCAATATATGCTGTAAATAATGTTGGGTTAAATCCTTTAAATTCTGTCGATAAATAACCAATATTTTCTTTAAAAAAAGAAATTAAGTTTTTGTGATCCTCTATCATTTTTTCTCCTGCTCAACTGCTAGTTTAAGCTGAGTTAGGAACAGCTTTTATTTTAAGCCCATTAAAGAATGATCGTTGACAGTCAGCTAATGCAAATAGTTGATGAGGTACTAATACCCAAAAAACCTGTACAAAACAAGATTTGATTAGAGATCGAAACATTCACCAGCCATTCAGCGATTGCAATATAAAAACAAAATTAAATGAACCAATTTTTTTGATCGAATTTTGTTATAATATTGCGAACAGTTAAATTTTTAATATCATCTTCACTTAAACTGGTACTTTCGGTGTCCTCCGATGAGAATTGTTGTCGCTCAGCTGAATCGCTTGATGAATTTGACTCTTTACGGTATGAAATTTCTAATTTATCAGATAAACCTTGCAAATGAAGAATTGAGTTTATTCGAAATGAATCCTCGCAATTTGTATCTGAAACGAAGATAAATGTTAGTTTATTCATGCTTATTCTTCTCTATTTTATTTAAAACGATTTAATAAAAGCGATTTGTTAACGACAACTGCTGTCAGGAAGACTTGATTTTATCACCAAATCATTTATTCATTTGAAAAAATCTAAAATTTCGTAAAGTCCATTTGGTGCAATTAACCGTAAGAAATAAAACTTTGAAATTCATAAAGTTAAGAATAAGAAAAAAAAGAAAACTGCTCAATATGTGATGTTATCAACCGCCAAAGTAACTAAATAACTAAATTTGAAAATACTATGAGGCCGATCTTTCAGATAAATTTGGCGTATAGTTTGCATAACTAACCATAACTATCTGCATCAGAGAAATCATCAAAATCTCCATCGCAAACATCTGTATAATTGTTTTTCAAGCTAAAAAGATTGAAAAAAAATGAAATAATTGCAGCTGTATCTTTTGGTGACAAATTTAGAGTTCCCAAGGCGACTCTCATTCGAAATCAATATACCTTCCCATATTATTTATGTGGTCTGTACGGTGTGAAACAGATAAGTTTAAAAATTTTGGACCATCTTTTTCAAAAGAGGCAATAATCATAGTTGAAATAGATGATGTAGCAAGATTAATAGGAATCAACTGCTGCAAGGACCAATTTTAAAAGATTCATTGGTCTAAGGCTTTTGGAAAATAGGTCGACTATTGTGCAGAATAATGGCAGGCAATATTGTATTGCAGTAAAAGAAAAAAGAAAAATAGTAAAAGAAAAGTAAGTTGTACTTTTTGATACGAATTGGAATTTCGTAAAGATGAATGTCATTCTTCATCGTATGATATGCATTTACCGATAGAGTAGATGTTTTAAATGGCGCTACAGGTGATATCTTATCTCGATTGATGGGCTTGCATTCACCGAATTTAGTTGACACAGATGTAAGTATTAAGCTAGAAAAGATTTTATTTGTCAATATTATATTGAACTTTCAGATCCGCCTACGTTTGAACCACCAAAATTGATTTAAAAAACCATTGAATTAGTCATAGTCAAAAACCACTGAAATATTTCAGGATGGAATTGTTCATAATCCATTCATACTTGCTATCATGAGACGTAGGAGGAGGTGGAGGAGGGAATTTAGGCCTCGCTATGGTCGAATTATGTCCCATTATATTATAGCATTTAACAAATTTTTCTTTATTGCTTGTATCGATCATAATTACAACATTATTGGCACCAATCTGAAACGAAGAGATCTTCTAATTTCATTCATTAATACGAAGAATGAAGAGGAAAATTTGGTGCCAATGCAAACCTTCTTAGGAGTCCTAATCAAATAAGATTGGATATTTCCAGCACCCCTTATGGACCTTTTATAGTTGGATTCATAGCTCCATTTCTTGTTCTTAGAACATAACCAAATTTTTATTTGAAGCAATAGATCATTTGGGCAACTTGTAACTTTAAATATATTGCTGTTCACAGCATTATAGCAACGATATATAGCGATAAAAGTGATTATGACTGATGAAAAAAATAATATAGCAAATATGCACTGAAAATCAAAATAATGCAGATTAGACAACTTTTTTAATTTGTGCATATCTTCAAAATTATCTATTTATCAAAAGCTTGATACGTTTGTTTGTTAATTGATCTTAAGCTTACTCAAATGAGAAATGAGATTATTATGAGAATCCAATGTTCATATTTTTCGGCTTTAAATAACACATATTATTATAGTTATAATAACTAGCGGGAAAAATGAGCGGCTAAAAATTATCTTTACGGATTTTTTACAATAGAACGTAATCAGGGGAATTTGTACTGACAGCTTTTGACTCGCTGATAGAATCTGGCTTCGCATTAAAATCCTTTTTTTAAAAAATTGAATAAATTTAATAACGAAAGCAAGAGGCTCGTGGGTCTGACAAGAGCAAACTTTCTATTTAAACTGTTGGTAATTCACCTGTAATTTCATTGCCAAATGAAAATCACCTAGTTTTATTCCTAACAAATTGAGCAAGGTTAACCAGAAATGGTAGCAGCTATTATATGCTTCTTCTTGGGTAAGGGTATGTAATAGAAATTAATCGAAATGCCCAGTATTTAATACAAAAAAGGAGGCTAATATCTCACAGGTTGATAATACTGCTTAATCTCAAAATATTTCCAGAAAATGAAATTAAACTTTAACGTTATTTAAATTTTTCGATTATCTCCCAATGTTTTCAAAGTTTCTTCATATTGTTGTTGTAAAAATAGTTTTGACCATTAATTTTGTAAATGAAATCTCCATTATCAATTTTATGGACGGAAAATATCTTGATGATTTTCTTGGATTGTTGGTTGATTGGGATTCTTTTGAAGATAAGCATTATGAATTCAGTCGTTGTCCTTTTTGCGAGAATAAATATGTGAAAACCGGTTGGAGTACTCATTTGCATTTTCACCCACAAATTTCTCTCTCTTCAGATGATCTCACCCTAATAATCAATAGAGCCGTGCAAACCAGAAATAATATGCAATATTAGAAGACCATTATTAATGTTTACACTCAAAGACATGATTGCCAGAAAGTTAAGTAAAAAATAAGTGATAATAATTATAACTTAATAAATTATTAATTATAAATTGTTATAATTGTAAATTAATAAATAATTGTTAATAATTATCACTTTAAAGCCCTGTTTTTCCAAACGGAGAAAATGCATGAATTGGAAGGAAAACTGAGAGGGAGAAAATTGAAAAGATATTAAAAAACAGATGGTGTGCAATATAGATATTTAAATATAGATATTTTGATCAAAAATTCCTCACAAAATTTAAATAAAGAGTTTTAAAAATGCATTACCATCTGCCATGTTCTGATGATCTGTATGCACAAATCAGCTCGACAGTTTAAGTCATAACAGTAATTTCGCAAACCACAATCACACTGTTCATATCTTTCAACAATACCATTTCCACATATTGGTAGCGATTGTTCGATTGTAATCGGCGTTAAGAATGGAATTTTCTCATACTTTTTTATGCAGTGGTTTTTGCTTAGTAGATTAACCATTTGTTGCAGCGTACAATCATGATCGAATCCCCTATGAAAGAATTTAACACGGTGGGCGGACTAATGTTTTTTTTGGAATTCTTTTCCCAATTTTTGCCTAGTAAGACGATTACTTTTTTATTTGTTATTTATGCAAAAAAATCAAACTTTGTTAGCGAAATTTTTACTTGCCACGAATCTCATTAAGAATCTTTCATATATCATATATTTGAAAATATATCCGATTTCTTTTATTTTCATTCCTTTATAGAAGTTTGTCATATAATAATTTTCAATCTATTAGATAAATATTTTCAACAATTAAAAAAATCACTTAACACTATTTCAAAAGCTTACGGTATCTTGAGACAATCTGTGGATCCTATTATTTTCCAACGATGCCTTAAATGATTGCACTGGCAGTTTGAAATTTCCAGCTTTTCGCTTGCATTGTTATGTGGCACGCCAACTAAATGTGCGACTTCGTGGAAGAAAATTCCACCCATTGCAGCAGGATTATGTGGATAAAACTGAAGTTTTGCCAAACTTAAAATGCAATTTTAATAACTGCTTCTTAATTAGAAAAAAATTATCTCGAAGAGAGAATGAAATGTAAAAAAAGCGAGCAATCAAAATGAATGCCTTTTTATTACAGTTTTAAAATATATTTTATCATATTCCGAAGACCAATATAACTCGCAAAATTGAAGCTTAGTTATGCTTTTATTTCCTTATTTGCAATTAAGAAATATTAAAGCACACCCCACATAACATTACTGCTTTCGAAGTGCACATTCCTCCAACAAAGGCTAGCCCACCAGCATATCTATACGATATTAGTGCAGCGAAATCGTGGTGAGGTAACATACTTAATCTGAAAAAATAAAACAAATTTAGAACATATAAAATTCGAATATTTAGATGATACAAACTGTTTTCGTTTAAAACAGTCGAATGGAACTATTTATCGATATCATCAATAGATCTCAAATAAATAAAAATAAATTGATTAACCTCTTATTTCTGTAGTCTTCGAATGAATATAAACTAAGATCATTCCTTCGAGTTTGAAAGATATCAACGACGGCAATTCTGACATTAATTTGATAAAAATACTGCAAAGATGTACCAATAAAAAATAACTAATCCAAAAATCAGACCATAACGCTTTTATGATATTCAATTAGTAATTGGTATCTATAAAAAAATAATGGCCAAAAAATTTCTTTTGCTATACTAGAGGCTATGTGCGATACAATTAACAAATTGACATTTACCTTATTGGATTCTTTTATCAATTTCAAGATTTCGTTCTTGATTTTGGTCATATTGGAGTCATAATGCCGTTCCTGAAGAAATATCTATCATATATGATAGTCTATCATATAATATAATATCAAATAAAAGCAAAACGATCATTCTAAATGATGCTTCATTCATAATAATTCACATTTTTATCATTTTAAACAAACACTTCGGCCATAATAATTCTCCACCTCTATTTTTATCAACTGTAACTCTAACTCCCCCATTCCAAGTAACTGTCTAGCAAAGATTTCTTAGTTTCGGTTAGACAATGAAACGAAATAATTCACCTATTTACTTTATAATAAAGGATTAAACATGTTAATAAAGTAATTTGTGGTAACTTTAAAGTACAAAATTTTTGACATTTCAGTACCAACATGATTAGGAAAAGAGCGAATATTTATAAAAAAAATTATGGGAAAGAACCACTCAAAATTTTAAAATCGATGAATAATAAAGTTAGTAGTAATCTCGTCGATCCATCCAGTACGATACCATCATAGTCGGGAGCAGATTCACCCCAAATGGCTGCTTCTCGACGATGTCTTCGACTTTGCACTAATTGCTTACCATCAAAATAATTCTAAATGAATACAAGTTGTTTTGCACGATTGAAAAGTCATTCTATTTGTTAAATAAAAAATTAGTGTTGTTTCTACAATCATTTCATATTAATAAAGGTATTCTGAATAATTAGCCAGAAATTGATGATCGCCACTCAATTTTTTTATCGTAAAAAAACAAAATATGAATAAAAATTGAAGTTTACATTTAATTTTTCAAATTAATCACAAAACAATCGTAAAAAAATTTACCATCGATATTAAGGTTATAATTTGAAAATGAAATTTTTACGACAAACAAAAAAAACCTCGACGAAATTCTCCTTTATGATGGGTTGTGATCCACAAATTAACAAATAAGTAGAAATTTGAAATAAGATGGACGATATATAAACGAAGATATGCGACAAGACGATAAGCATTACTGGCAGTAAAATTTGCTGAGGTAAAGTGAGATCGATTATGGCAGTACAAAGCACTGAAATATTTTTTCGTTTCATTAATCGTAATACTCAGTAACATTATAGTTAACATATGAGTGAGAATTAAGTATCATGGTTTCACTAGCAAAAATAAGCCTGGCATTAAAAGTTCGGATAATGCTGGCACTTATATTTTCTAGAAAATCATCACAAAATCGTCACATTAAGTAGTGAACTCTAACCACTTACCCTATTATTTGCTTACCAGAGAGACAATAACTTTTTCTACAATTTTAGTATAAAAATATTTTTCTCTCAAATTTTTTTCAAATTCCGTTTTATGTTCTCGAAAATTATATCGTCCAACTATTTTGAAGGAAAAATTCTGATTCATCTCCAACAATTTCAACATTATTCCTGTTAAAAAAAAGTTTAATACGATTTTCGAAATTGCAACAAATTCGTCTATTCTACTTTCCAAAAATTTTGCTAATTCTTCTTTGATTGCTTTAATATTATCTTGATAAATGATTTAATTTTTATTCCATTCTATCTATTTTTGATTGAAAAATTAATTGGAAAAATAATTTCTTACGAAAAAAAAACGATTTTCAGCAATTTGTCGTTACTATTGAATGATCCACATTATTGAAACCAACAAGTCAAAATTCTTGAAAAAAAGTGTCAATAGTAATCATATATTTTTTATCGCCGATTTTTCATAGAAAGAAGTTTTTTCATCCAAGGTAAATTAATTTATCTTATAAATAAAAGAACTTAAGATTTAAGATTTATTCACACAAAAAAATGTAGAGTTTGACTGACAAATATTTCAAGGTCAAATTTTTAAAATTTGTAATTTCGAAGAAATTTAAAAATCTATCAAAAATCCAGAAGAAATTGGATACGTATGATACTCGTATATTATTCATACATAGACAGTCGATTTCATAAATCAAAAATTTTGAAAATGTTGGGAGCGACAGCGCATCACATATGAAGACATCGCAAATGTAAGATGAATAGATTTATCGGTGCACAATTTTTGAATGAAAGCTACGAAACTCACAAAAGATATTATTCTGATCCATGAATTACATGACCACAGCCATACATTCTCATAAAGGATAAAATCGACATAAAACCGTCACATTGCTAATGAATTTAGTTTGAGAACCGGTTTTATAAATTTGATATTTTATTTCGAATGGCCAAATTATTAACAGTTAACCCATATGGTTTAAGAAAAACTGATTTTTAGAAGAAAAAAATGAAATGTGATAGCATTTGGATTCATTATTACCATATAGCTTACAAGTTCAAAAAAATACCATTTTTTTTCAGCTTTAATCTCAATTGAAAATATTATTCCATCTTTCAATAATTATTAGAAAAACAGGAACAGTAAAAATTTTATAGAGATAATTTGGTTGATAAATATGAATTTATATGCAAGCAATCATCCTTTCTTCTTCTAACAGCTCGCGGAGGTTTGATTCGTTTCATCTCACTAAGAACTAGGACAAGACGTTTCTAAGCCTCCGTTGCCATTCCTGAAATTAAATGCCTGAAATACGTTTTTCCACCTTCCAAATCTGTACATCTAGGTACCTATGAGTTCAAAATTTTCTCTGACTTTTAATCTAGGTTTTGGTGGCAACGATTAGAATGATATCAATCAAAAATTATTTGCTGCTTCTTCCACTCAGTGAATACAATTTTTGCAGTTTTATTGCAAAGAATGCAAGGCAGTTGAAAAGTTCAGCTCGCAGACCATCTCCAAATTATCCTTAATCCTTAAAATCGTGAATTACAGAGATTATTTCGTACTCTATAGTTAATGGCTCGCAATTGCTGCAATCATATAGCACGAAATACGCTCCATTCACTTTAGATAAAATTAGATTCAGTTCTAGATTCGAAGAATTCTCATCGGAAAGGCTTTTTTTTGAAAAGGATCTTTGACGATGTTTCCATCCTTATCTCGGATTATTTCCCTATTCCAATTGCTTTACGAATTAGACAGAAATAATAATTATCGCCTTCTGGAGCTGCTATTTGCATATTCAAGATCGATTTCATGCAATCTTGCAATAACTGTTGCGAGTTTACGGGCAAGCCAGGTTTTTTTGACAAGCGCGTTCTGGCAGACTAGGCCGTACCATCTACCTTCCAGAATCTATGTGGGCCGGTTTAGCTGACTTCAGGAAGCAAGATTTCCTCTGGGATCAATATTGATTGAGAGTTCCAAAGGAATGGCTCTTAAAATCCTTTGAATGTACTGGTACCTCAGTTTGTAATATATCAACTGTCGATTGAAAAATTCGTCTAAATCCTTATCCATACTTCTACCATCAGCTAACAAAAATTTCCAATTGTACAAAACCAGTCGAGCTAGCCTAACCAGAAATAGTGAGCGTTAGTAACTTAAGCAAAAATATCATGAAAAATTTTCCCGAAGATGTGCAAAAATAAATTGTAAAAAAGTGAAAGACCATATACTGTATTATTAACGAGTGATAAATTATTTACTATTATGTCAAAATTAATGGCAATAGAAAAAAAATTATGTTAACGTTGTATTAATATTAATATTTATATTAATATCACTGTATTAAATAATACGATATAAAAACTTCTCTTTTAGCATTGTCAATTGAAAAAGTTAACTATTTATGCAAGTCTCATAATAATATTACAGAATGCATGCAGTTGAAAAGCAATTATAAGTTATTTTACAGGTAGCTAATTTATTTCTTAAAATTTGTATAATACAGCGAAGTTTATGGCTGCTACGACAAATAGCTGTGTAAAACCATTGAGAATACCATTCTCCGCCTGTGTAATATAGTAATGAGGCATGGTATCATATCTAGTAACCAAACGAAATCCTCGCTCAAAAGATTATTTGAAAGCGTTTCGTTTAAAATGGCAGAAACCCTTATGAGCAAAATTATTTAAAAAAATTGATAGCAAAAAAGGTCGTTTGTTTTCTAAATAAATAAATAAATTCACCGAAGCTTTGCATGATTGTAATAGAAGATTAATAAAATTGTATTAAGGGCAAAATAAGGATAAATGGAAATCCCATCGGGCTCATAAGAATTGCATCTTGCATCTATCTAGTATTTTATCCTTTGCATTTAACCGTTCCTATAGAAGTGAACTTGCGATTGAAAATAAGAGAGGTACTGGAAATTCGTCTGCAGATAATTTCTTGGCCAAAATCTGTAATCGTATAATCGTATCTCTACTAATTAACGAAGGCATAATTGGAAATGCTAAGATTAAAACCACTTATTATCGCTATAATTTCATAATATGCTGCGATTAATGTTTCTCTAATTCAATAAATTCAAACATTCAGCTGAATTCTCTATTTTAACTCGAGCATTGAGGTTCGGACCTTGCCTTCGGCAAGAATAAGCTAAAAATACGGGAAATGTTGAAGTCCCACCCTACTCTCTGGTAAAAAATCCACATCTTACTAATTACCAGTGGAGCGAGTCCAGTGATGTGAATTAGCCATTTAATTAGTGTTTTTAAAAAGGAAACAAATATTTAACGAAATTCTCACATATTTAATAATAATTAATAATAATAATAATTAATAATGATAATTAATAATAATAATAATAACAATAATAATAATAATAATATAGTAATAATTAATAATAATAATAATAATAGTAATAGTAATAATTAATAATAATATAATAATAATAATAGTAATAATAATAATAATAATAATAATAATAATAATAATAATAATAATAATAATAATAATAATAATAATAATAATAATAATAATAATAAAAATAATAATAA